TCATGGAATGGGCCACACAAATACCCCAAGAGAATCTCCTTCAATACAAAAATGAAACCCCCTCTGACCACAAGCCCTAGCTGTCACATACCACCCGACACTGAAACCCGTACAGAGTATCATCAAACAACTACAACCCATACTTGATGGGAACCCCATCCAGAAAGAAATCTTTTCTGAACCCCACACTTCTGGCCTTTAGACAACCCCCCAACCTCTCCAAGATCGTCATTAGAAGCAAGCTCCCCACAGACCAGGACACATCAAAGTAACACCAAACCCTGCCAGAACAAAGATGCAAAACCTGCAGACATATCTCCATTGCTACAGATCAACACCCCCCACCACACACCTTTCAAGATCACTGGATCCTACACATGCCTATCACAACATGTGGTACACACAGTGATGAGCTGCCAAAATATTAACAACCGGTTCCCTCCTCCTCACCCCACGAGGGGGTCGTGCCCCCCTGTCCTCCAGGACTCCTGCCCCATCCAACCCCCCACGTTCCTAGACAGCCCCCCCTGGGACTCCTGCCCCATCCACCCCCCTTCCCTGTCCCCTGACTGCCCCCTGCCGCCCCATCCAACCCCTCCTCTCATTCCTGATGGCCCCCCGGGACCCCTGCCCCATCCAACCACCCCTTCTCTCTGTCCCCTGACTGCCCCCCACTGCCCCATCCAACCCCTGCTCCTTCCTGACTGCCCTCCGGGACCCTTGCCCCCATTCAATCCCCCTGTTCCCTGCCCTCTGACCGCCCCGACCCTAATCCGCACACCCCAACTCCCCTGCCCTCTATATCCAACACCCCCTCCCTGCTCCCTGCCCCCTTACCACGCTGCCTGGAGGTGGGGGCCAGGCTGGGGCCGCTGGGCCGGAGCCGCTCAGCCTGGGCTGAGGTTGGGGCCGGAGCCGGGGCACTCGGCCAGGGCCAGGGCCAGGGCACTCGGCCATCCGGGGTCGGGCCGGAGCCGCGCTGTCCGGGGTCGGAGCCAGGCCGGAGCCAAGCCGCGCCGCCCGGGGCTGGGCCAGAGCCGCGCCGCCTGGGGTCGGGGGCGGGCCGGAGACTCGCTGCCGGACGGCTGGGGCCAGGCCCGGGCTAGAGCCACGCCGCCCGGCCAACCGGGGTCGGAGCCATGCCAACCAGGGTCGGGGGCCGGGCCGGAGCCCGGGAAGCCGCTGCTTCCTTCTCAGCCCTCCGAGGCTTCCCAGGCAAACAGCTGATTCGCGGGAAGCCGGGGAGGGGGAGGAGAAGCCGGGGGAGCGTTCAGGGGAAGAGGCGGAGGCGGAGCAAGGTGAGCTGGGGCCGGGGGAAGGGCAGGGAGCTGCTGGAGCTTTTGTTAAATTTAGAAGCCCTTTTAGAACCAGTTGTCCCTTGTGGGACAACCGGTTCTAAAAGGGCTTCTAAATTTAACAACCGGTTCCCACAAACAGGTGGGAACCGGCTCCAGCTCACCTCTGGGTACACATCATCCAGTGCACTAAATGCCCCAATAACAACTATCACTACGCTCTCAAATGAACATACACAGGAAAATTATAAAAGACAGAAACACCCTATCATCTGTGGGTGAACACTTCTCACAAAGCAATCATGCTCTAGCTGACCTATCCTCAAAGGAAATCTGCACAACATTTTCAAAAGACATGCCTGGAAGCTTAAATTCATCACTCTGCTAGACACTAAAAACCATGGACTGAACAGTGACACTAGATTTATGGCTTATTACAACAATCTGTAAACCACTAAACCGCTCTTTTTGTCCTATGACTGCAGAGGTGTTAACGGGCCACTCTACCTTGAATAGTCCCTTACAATATATGCTAACTACTTATTCTACAAAAAGAACAGGAGTACTTGTGGCACCTTAGAGACTAACAAATTTATTAGAGCATAAGCTT